CACGCACGCCACGCCGACGCACGCACGCACGCGCTGCAACCTAAGAACAGGTTTTTTTTTTTTTCATTCTATGTTGCGCTATGCTAGCCAGCGCCGGCTGGTTATCTGGTTACCCCGGATACCCTCAGCCACCCACGCCCCGTAACTGCTAATGTAGCACATAGCGGCTGACCGCCCCGTGAACAAAATAACAGGGGCGTGGACCTCACGCACTGGCACAGCTACTGCCATGCCCTCCCCACCCCTTGTATATATATATAATGCGTGACGCGTGTATGTTTGGTTTTTGGGTGTACGGTGTTGACGCTCGCGGCCGCACGAGTCTTCCTGCCTTATGCGGGAGCTGTCATGATTTGCGTCGGCGCCAGGGGTCATATTCAGTACGCAGCGCGCGCGCCACATTACCAACACACACCTAGATGCACATCGGCCTTAGTTCATGTGATGTATGCAGGCAGGCCAGGCAGGCAGGCGGGCAGCGCAGGCAAGGCATGCATGCCAGGCCAGGCAGGCAGGCACTGCAAGCAGGCAGGCCAGGCATGCCACGGCAGGCGGTCGCAGCGCAGAGAGGCAGGCAGGCGGGCAGGCAGCGGAGGCAGGCAGGCAGGCAGATAGAGAGAAAAACGAGAGAGAGGAGAAACGAGAGCAGGGGGAGACGGAGGCGAGGAAAGTGGGAGAGGAGCAGAGAAGGGGGAGAAAGGGAGAGGGAGGAGAGGTAAGAAGAAAGCAGATGAGGGGAGCAGAGACGCACGCCACGCCACGCCACGCACGCCACACACACAGCGCACACACACACACACACACACACACACCACACACAACACACACACACACACACACACACTCACCACACACACACACACACACACACACCACAACACACAACACACCACACACACACACACACACACACATACATACACACACACGCACACACGCCACACACGCACACACAACACACACACACACACACACACACACACACATCACACACACACGCACACGCACACGCACACACACAAAAACTGCCCAAAAAAACTCGATGCATGTGCGCGAAGCTGCTCGGGCTGAAGCTCCGCATGCGTACGGATGTTCTCATGTGTATCCTGCGCCAGCCGATCTAGCCGCTGCCTCCCTCACACGTACGGCCGTCAGGCGCCGCTCGCTGCCAGGGCTAGAGGTACCCGGCAGTCAGGGACGCAGTTTCGTACGCCAGCCGTTTATATTATTGATGGAAACGCCGCGAAGCAGGTACACGCAGCAGAGAGAAGGAGGAGAAGCCGGAGGGAGAACGGGCGAGGGAGGGAAGACGGGGGAAAGGCAGAGGGGGAGGCGGCGGCGAGGGGAAGGGGCAGGGGAGTGGGAGGGGGAGGGCAGAGAGGAGACGGAACGAGGCGGGAGAAGAGTGTATGCTGTAAGCGTAGCACGAGAAGAGAAGGCGCGAGGGGAGCAGGCGGGCAGAGAGATGTATGTGGGAAGCTGCTACACGCAGAGAGAGAGAGGGGCGGAAAGGCAGCAGGAGGGGAGAGCGAGGAGAGAGTGTTATGCTTGTAAAGCGGTACACGCAGAAGCAGCAGCAGCAGAAGAGAGAGAGAGGAGGGCTGAGAAAGAAAGGGAGAAGGGGGAGAGAAAAGCGGGCGGAAAAGAGGTGCTATATGTAAGTGTGCACGAGAGAGAGAGGGGGAAGCGGGCAGAGAATGGAGGGAGAGGCGGAGAGAAAGCGAGCGGGGGGAGGAGGAGAGGCGGAGGGGAGGGGGAGAGGGAGAGAGAGAGAGCGAGAAGGAGGGAAAGGGAGAGCAGAGAGCGAGGGGGAGGGCACGAAGCGGGAGAGCGGAGAGTGAGATGGGAATAAAGGAAAAGGGAGAGGGGAGGCAGGAGCACAGGGGGAGCAGAGAGAGGGCGAGGGGGAGCGAGCGGAGAGAGCGAGAGGGCGGAAAGAGTGTATGTGTAAGTGTACCACGAGAGAGCAGAAGAGGGGATGGGGAGAGAGCGAGAGAGGGAGGGCGTGGAGAGGCGGTGGGAGGCGGCGACGCGCAGAGGAGGGGGAGGGAAGAAAGAGAGAGGGGCCGAAAAGGGAGAGGGGAGAGCGGGGGAGGGGGAAAGAGTGTATGTGTAAGTGTACACCGAGAGGAGGAGAGAGGGGAGGGGGAGAGGGGGAGAGGGGAGAGAGTGTATGTGTCAAGTGTACACGGAGCAGAGAGAGGGGGCAAAGAGGCGAGAGATGGCAGAGGGAGAGCGAAGGGAGAGAGAGAGAAGAGAGAAAGTGAAGAGAGCAAAAAGGGGCGAGAGAGATAGCGGGAGAGAGAGAGCGCGACGGGGAGGGTAGAGGAGAGAGAGATGCGAGCGAAGGCGGAGAGGGAGAGACGCAGAGAGAGCAGAGAGGGCGGGGATCAAGGACGAGAGAAAGACAGGGAGGTGACTAGGGGGGAGAAAAGAGAGGGAGGGGGATAGGACGAGAGAGAGACGAGAGAGGCAGAGGCGAGAAAGCAGTGAGCGCCGACGGGGATAGAAAAAGAGAGGGAGGGCGGATTAGGAGGAGAGAGAAAGAGGCGGAGGGGATACGCGGACGTGAGAGAGGCGACGGGCGAGCAGAAGAGCAGAGAGAGAAAGGGAGGGGAGAGCAGGCAGTGTGTGTTTGAGGTACAACGAGGTAGCCGCAGAGAAGAGGGGGAGAGCGACAAGACTGAGAGGTGAGAGGAAAGGCGGGGGCAAAAGGAGAGCGACATGCGAGAGCGCGAGGAAGAACGAGAGAGAGAGATAGCCGAGCGAAAAGAGGAGAGATGGAGAGAGCAGAGAGAGAGAGCGCAAGCGACCGGAGAAGCGCGTGAGAGCGCAGTGAGAAAGAGAAAGCGCGCGAGGGAAAGACGAGGAGAGCGGACAGAGAAGTGGGGGGTTGAGAGAGCAGACGACGAGAGAGAGAGAGCAAGAGAGAGGAGAGGAGAGAGAGATGCGCGCGCGTGAAGGGAGTGCAGAGAGGAGAGCCCAAGCGAGGAGCAGCGTGAGCGTGAGCTGAGGAGAGAAGCGCCACGCGGGAAAAGCCGGGAGCAGCCCCGGACAAAGAAGGGGAGACGACGAGAGCGATCGGGAGGTGAGGAACTTAAGACGAGAAAGAGGAGCGAGGGAGATAGTGCGTGTTTGCGCGTGCAGCAGATTGCACACGCACGGAAGCTTGCACAGTCGAGACATGCCGAGACTCGCATGCGGGCAAACTCAACGCGACCTCAAAGTCGATTTATAACAATAAATATTCGAATAGCACCGAGGATACACGCCAGCTCCCCCTACATCCGTGCCGCCGCCGACGCTCGACTACTACCACGGCGACCACCGGGAGAGAAACGATGCGGGGGCTAGCGAAGAGAGAATAGCATGATTAAGTGAGTAGGCTAGCTGAACTCGGCTAGCACATGCCCCTTAGATGGCTAAGCTGCGGCTCATCTGCAGGTCGTGACAAGTGCCTAGTCGCTACGTTATGTACGCCGCTAGCTACTTATATGTCCACCGCTGTGTGTCCACGTTGTGTCCATGTTGTGTCCATAGTCTTGCTGTCGGTTGTGTCCACGTCTGTTCCGTTGTAGTACACAGGTTGTGTACACGAGTTGTGTCCTACACGTTGTGTCCACGCTTGTGTTCCACGTTGTGTCCCACGTGTGTCCACTTGTTCGTGTGTCCACGTTATGTCCACGTTGTGTCCGTTATGTGTCCCTCGTGTTTCCACACCTTTTTATACACGTCATGTCCACTGCAGCATAGATGTACGGGTCGCATGTCATCAGCGTGCCCAAGCGCATAAATACTCACCTTCCGTCGCCACTGCTACAACAAGCCGAGCCCTTGAAGGGAAAGGGTTGGGTCGCCCGGTCGGCGGCGAGGAAGGGGGGGGCGTACGACGGAGGTAGCTTCTTATTATCAAAGTTAGCGAGCTCGTCAGCCATCTAATTAAGAACGCCCATAGTAACGTACTTTTGAATGTCGCAACGGCCACTAACGCGTCCGCTGGCAGAGCCGCTTATATGTCCGCAGTGTCACATATGAGTTACTCCCGAGACGTAAAGGAAGCGTGTGTCTATATATATATATATATATATATATATAGTCTAATCTTGATGCATACACGCTGGCCAGCAAAAGGCCAGGGCAATGTATGACCGTATAGCTTGAGCAAATCTCTGGGGTGGGGTGAAAAATTTCATGACTCAGCTCAGTAATGGCGGGAGCGAGAGATGCAGCTCCAAATCAACCTTCATGGTGTGCTTGGATCATGAGGCCATGCAGTGTGTGGCGGTGTTGTGGCCGGCTGTTAGGGCGGGTGTGGTGGGAGCGCGTGTGGTGTGGTGGGAACGACTACATGATGATTAAATTTTGTACTTATTCTTCGGGCATTTATATTTATTTAGGCTTTTTCATGCGCTTCCTTCCCCCCAACCAGTGGCAGTGACCCTGAGCCGAAACTATTATAACGACAGTGATAGCAGCGTGTAAAGCGTGAGAGCAGCTATGCAGATAGTAACGCTAGATCTAAATTTATATCGGGGGCAAAATATTGCGAAATATATCTGATTTCGCTCTGCCGTTAACGCTGTCATCTGCATCATGCGTGCCTGGCCTCATGACACCGACACCATTTGGGAGCAGGGGGAGGCGGGAAGGAGGGGAGGCTGGAAGGAGAAACTGGCACACACTACACGTCGTGCTGCAGCCGGCAGTGCTACCCCGTGTGTGTGTGTTTGCCATGTGTTTGTAGTTGGATAACTCTCACACTGCCAGGCCAGCCAGCTGGTAAATAAATACGCTGGTAGATAGCGTACAGTAGTAACTCTTACGTGGGCTTACGAATAAAAGACCGCTAAAGATATAATCAGTATTATAATTTAGAATCTAAAAAAAAAAGAAACCTCGATATTATTCACTCCTGATATATATATAACACATGTGTGATTAGCTTACAAGGCTGTAAGGACGCTCATCCCGGCGGCGTTGGGTAGATCTATGCATTTTCAAAATTGCGTGATTTGGTTCGCGAAAAACCGAATGAACTTTGAATTGAACGCAATCATGTGATGCCGTATATATGGCTCGTTTTATACGCATCGATCGATTTGCTTCGATAAGAGCTGCATGACTGCATGCGCTGACGCTATATAAGAACAAGGACTTGTAAATACGAACATACACACACCCACAGCTACATTCCTATACGCGCGTACAATTAAACTTTGAAGGTGACCTTCGAAAGGACGCGAAGGATTTTAAAGCTCGATTTCGGAACTTTAAAAAAAATTGTTGTTATGATTGTTATGCCCGAGGTGTTGGCAAAGCGCACGTACGTACGCACGTGATTCCCCAATAAGGCACTATATAGTGCAAAACATATAGTGCAACCACAGCAAAAACATATAGCACGAGGTATATAACTTTCAGTAAGCATATATTATCAGGAGCGTATAATGACAATTTGTCATTATACGCTCTTGATATTATGATATTATGTAACGTTAAATATTACATGTACGCACATACGCACGCATACACGCACGCACACACGCACGCACACACGCACGCACGCACGCACACACACACACACACACACACACACACACACACGACACACGCACACGCACACACACACACACACGCACACGCAC